GAACTACAGCTCCCGGCGTGCCCCGCGCGCCCCCCCCGCCCAGGGGGCGGGGCTGCGGGCGCCGTTAACGGGCGCGGAGCGCGGGGCGGCGGAGCCGTTGGGATGGAGCGCGGGCAGGAGCGCGTGGTGGCCCTGGTGGACATGGACTGCTTCTTCATGCAGGTGGAGCAGCGCCTCGACCCGCAGCTGCGCGGCCGCCCCTGCGCCGTGGTGCAGTACAAGAAGTGGCAGGGCGGCGGGTAGGTGGCGGCGGCGGCCGCGGTGTCCCCGGGCCCGGTGTCCCCGGCGGCGGCTCCGCCGTCCCCCCTCACGCGTCGCGCTGTGTTGCAGGATCATCGCGGTGAGCTACGAGGCGCGCGCCTTCGGCGTGGCCCGCGGCATGTGGGCGGCGGAGGCGCGCGCGCTGTGCCCGGAGCTGCTGCTGGCGCGCGTGCCCGAGGCGCGCGGCAAGGCGGACCTGACGCGGTGAGCGCGCCGCGGACCGGGGCACGGGGGCACGGGGGCACCGGGGCAGCGCCCGCGCCTCACGCGCGCCGCCCGGGCAGGTACCGCGAGGCGAGCGCCGAGGTGATGGCCGTGCTGTCGCGCTTCGCCGCCATCGAGCGGGCCAGCATCGACGAGGCCTACCTGGACCTGACGGGCTGCGCGCGGGAGCGGCTGCGCGCGCTGCGGGGCYGCCCGCTGGGCGCCGCGCTGCTGCCCACCACCTTCGTGCAGGGGCTGCCGGCCGCCACCGCCGCCGCCCGCGACAAGGGTAGGGTGTCCGCGCACCGCCTCCCCGCCGGGCTCTGCAGCCTCCCCGCTGCTTCCCCGCACTCAGGGCCGCCTGGGCAGGCGGGGTTGCTTCATTGCCTCTCCTCCAAAAAATAGAGCAGTGGGGTTTTTATGTTACCTAAGGCTGAGGTTTTAAGGYGCCTGCTTCTTATCCTTGCGCTGGGGTGGAATTATGTAAGCGCGCTGCTGCTCCCTAGGGCTTGCTGCTGCTGCCGGGCCCTCTTCGCTGGCCAGCGAGGGCCCACGCGGGTGCTCTGTGTGTCCCCGCGCCAGAGGAGCTGCGGGAGCGCGGCGTGCACGAGTGGCTGGCAGCGCTGCCGTTCGCGGAGCCTGACTGCCCGGACCTGCAGCTCACCRTGGGAGCTGTGATCGTGGAGGAAATGAGGGCGGCCGTGGAAGAAGCCACCGGCTTCAGGTGCTCAGCTGGCATTTCACACAACAAGGTAGGAGCTGAACACGTCCCCCATCCCTGGCGCTTGGGAGACGGTGGCTTTGGCGGGCTCATCACTGACACAAACACCCCTTGTTACGAGGAGGAGGAGGAAGCTCAGTGCACTGAGGTGCATCAGTTTGGTTTTGCTCGCTCCGGTCAATCAGCCAGCAGCACCTGGCAGCCGCAGTGGGTGACACTCGGCCAGCTGCCGGGGCAGCCGCTGGGGCTCTCGGTGCGTGACAGCAGCTGCAGAAACAAACTGCCTTTGATGCCGCCGCCACGGAGGCTTCCTGCCTGGCGACACGCGGGGTGGCTTGCGGAGAGCACCCGATGCCTGTTTCAGCCTTGCCAAAAAAGGGCTTCTACGGACAGTTAAGTTTTAAAAGATGCAAGTTGTGGCCAAGATGATAAAAACAGCAAAATGGGTGCATCAGAAACTCGGAGAGTTGAGAGAACTTCAGACTACTCCTTCGCTCAAGGATGCAGCAGAGCCAGTATGAAGTATTACCAGCATTTATGCATACTAGGGCTAGTTTGCATTGACCCACCTGCAAACCAGGGAGGACTGTGTTACAGAGTTGAGCTGGCCTAGGAAGAGTGCTCGTGTAGAAGCTCCTGCTGGAAGGGATGCTCAGCTTGCCCTTTTATTCTGAAGGGAGCAGGGAGGAACAGCAGACTGTGCCTGCTAGGAAGGCCACTGTTTTCCCCGGCTAAGTAGATCCTGGGTAGTATGTGACAAGGCCAGGAGCTGGCAGTGGCAGAGTGTTGTGTGAGGCAGTAAGCTGCAATTCCCAGACATTACCGTGCTTCAAAGTTGGTGGGAAATGCCTGTGAGAGGCCAGGAGTTACAGTAAGGTGACCAGCAGCATCTCCCAGCCTCCACTGAGTTTCTCCACCAGCACCCTCACCTTTTTCTAAGTGGGTAAGGAGATGACGATGTGCTGCGCTACCCCTGAAGGGCAGCGTGGCTGTAGCTGTACCAGGGAGTGTGGGGCAGGCATGTCCAAGTACCAGAATCTGGCACGGGGCTGTGCAGATCGTGCTACGCTGCTTCCACAGCCAGCCAGCTTTTCTCTGTGCATGTGAGCCTTTTTATCAGAGCCTGGGGCAAGCAGGGGTGCACCCTGCATGCTGGTCTCTTGTTTCTAAAGGAAAACTCTCCTGGGGGATTTGAAAGCCTTTTTTTATAGTGAGTTATTTGGTTAGGGTAGAGCGGGGACCAAGCTACTATACTGGACTGAAGCACAGATGGGGCTGAGGGGCTGCCTGTAAGAGTTTTAGAAGAGGGAATTAGAGCTGCAAATGCAGCTGAAAGAATCAAGCAGCACTTCCTGTGCTCCTCACCAATGGTCTGAGTGGCCCAGATAAAGAAAGAAAACAAGTGCATCAACTAGGAGGCCTTTGGCTAAGTTGCAGTAAGTCRGAGAGTAGCCTGGAGTTGTTACGGACAATGAGCAGGATGAGGCAGTTCCAGCAGTAACTGTGGGAATGGCAGATTCCATTTCAACTTGCTCTACTTTAGAAAAGCGTCAGAAAAAGTAAATTATTCCACCCCATGAAGTGTTGGTGATTGATTTGGTTTGAGGCACCTTGTTCAGGAATAATGCAGGTGAACTTAGAAGAGTCTCTGGTGAAATGAGGAATAATCAGACATGTGGAAAAATGACTAGATATGAAAAGCTGAAGGAAATTGAGCTGTCTTGTCTAGAGAAGAGTGAGGAGGTATGTAAGCCTGTGAAAGAGGCTGTTAATGCAGATTATAGCTTGATATGCTGAAAAGGATTTTTTTAGTTATAAGATGGGTAATAAAGTTGTGAAAGAGGAAATGACTAGAATTACTTAATCAGCAGTATCTATTTCAAGCTGGTCTGTGTATTCTTAATTCTGTGTTAGACTACAATGGGAGGGGGGGCTGTGTAGTAAATGGTCTGGAGAGCATCCCTTCCAGGCCAGCATTTTTGTATTTTGCAGACCTCCTTCTGCAGCCCTGTGCTGCTGYGGGCCTTGCAGAGAGGAAGCTTAAATAGTCACCGCGTGAAAAAGCGAGACCGAAATGGAAGATGAAGGGAAAAAAAGGATCAGAGAGAGCAATAGGCTGAGGAGGACGGTGGGGATGCTCTGGAAGCTCTAGTGTGCTCAGCTGGTGCAAACTAAGGCAGCCAGACCTGTGGTAGACCCCGAGCGTGCGGAGCAGGAGGCAGCGGCGCTGGGAGGCAGTGGCGGCGCAGGCTGCGTGTCCTCCCACACAGCCCTTCCCAAGGCAGCTCCTCGCTGGTGGTGATGCCGCACGGGAGGTGATGCCGCGCGGGCCGGGCGCACTAGGGCCGCGCGGGTTTGTGCTCATGGGCCCTGCTGCCGCTCGTGTGTTGCAGACCCTGGCRAAGCTGGCGTGCGGCCTGAACAAGCCCAACCGCCAGACGCTGGTGCCCTGGCGATCCGTGCCGCAGCTCTTCAGCCACACGCCCGTCGGCAGCATGTGAGTGCTGCGGAGCCGCCGGCTCCCGGGAGCGCGGCCCCAGGCTCGGGCTCTGCGGCGGGGCGGAGTGTGCACTAGGAGGGGAGTCCTGCTGTGTTGCTTYATTGCTGCAGCCCTTGCTCCTGCTGGTTTTGTCACTGCCGCTTTTGGGAGCGGAGGCAGGGCATCTAGAAGGTCCAAAACTGTTCCTGGCCACCTCAACATACAATAATTTGACGTTAGTGGGTGACTGCCAGAAAAGGGTTTTCAACATTGACTCTAAAGGCTCATCAGCATTTGCAAGAAACAGAGGGGGAGTCCTGCTAGAGCAGGAATGGCTTCGTTCTGAGCATCTGCAGTGTGCACAAGAGCTGCGCCTTGGTGCAGGGGAGTTACCAGCCGTGCTGCTGCAGGGGGAACCCTGCTTCAGCCCCCCASCCCTGCGGGCTGCTCCTGCTGCTGGTGGGGAAGGGTGCAGGTGTGGGGAGGGTCCTGCCCACGTAGGAAGGGAACAGGGAGTTGGGGAGCACCTCTTGGAGACTGAGCTGAGGGAGCTGCATGAGCTCTGAGCTTGTCTTGCTTCACCTCCTGTACATCCTTCTACCCAAGGGGAAGAGCTCTTTTGTTGGGCTCTTTTGCCTTAGAGCCTTGACTGCTTCCTTGCTCGCCTGCTTTCAGCTGCTCCGGGCAGTGCTTGCAGACTTGTGACCCTGTGAATCCTCCTGTGATGCCTCATTYGTGATCCCTGTGTCCTCTGCAGCCGAAACCTGGGGGGGAAGCTGGGTGCTGCCATCATGGACATCTTCGGCGTGGAGTACATCGGGCAGCTGACTCGGATCAGTGAGGCGGAGCTGCAGACCCACTTTGGGGACAAGCCGGGGTAATGATGCACCGCTTGCGCAGCCAGGCCCCGGCAGCAGCCGGGTCTTCCTTTCGGAGGCAGCTTGTCCTGCATGGGAAGGAAGGTGGGAGGCTTCGCGGGCTCCCCGGCCCTGCTCTGCCCTGCCCCTGTCCTCCCCATCCCGTGCAGGGGGTAAATCCCAGAGCAGCTGGTGTGGCAGCCCTAGCACTGTCGCATCGGAGGAGAGAGTATCCCCTGGCACGTGCAGTGGGTGTCCCCGGGCCCCACGTTCACAGGTGGCAATTGGGGCTCTCTAGCTGCCTTCACCCCTGTTACCTCTGTGGCTTCCAGGTCCTGGCTCTACGACCTGTGCAGAGGAATTGAAGATGAGCCCGTCAAAAACCGGCACCTAGCCCAGTCCATTGGCTGCAGCAAGAACTTCCCTGGGAAGACAGCCCTGGCCACGCAGAAGGAGGTAGAGGAGGCGGGTCCGGCCTTCAGCCTGGAGGACACGGAGACGCTCRAAGCTGGGACTGGCCAGCAAAAGCTGCTGCTTTTCTGTGCCCTGAAACTGGCCTGGGGGCTGCATGGGAGGGGGTGGCTTAGACCCTGGGAGCCAGGGACATCCTCTGTAGACACAAGTGCAGTGACAAAGTGCTGCACRGAGAGGTCCAACCTTGTCCTATTCTGCATGAGCAAAATGGGCCCATGCTCTACAAAGGGGATTCGAGACTTCCCAGGCTGGTCACCAGAAAGGAGGTAAGGAGCCCAAGGAGGGAGCGGGCCAGGCTGCTCCTCCCTGTTGGCTGCAGAGGGACCTGCTCCGTGCTCTCCGTGAGAGGTGCAGGGACTAGGGCTGAGCCCTCACCGGGAGGGACTTCTCTGGGAGCGCTCCTGCTCATGGCCCTCGTGTGCCAGCAGCATCCCCAGCACAGCCTCAAGCCTGTTCCTTGTGCTGTGTGTCTTGCAGGTGCAACACTGGATCCTGCAGCTCTCCTTGGAGCTGGAGTGCAGGCTCATTAAGGACAGGAGCCAGGTAGGGAGAGGGGCACAGGGGGCTTATTTTCCTGCAGTGGCCCAGGGGGCCAGGCCTCCAGGAGCCATGCAGCACATCTGCGCTGTGCGCTGCTTGCAGGGCCRGGAGCTCTGCCTGCTCAGACGTGCAGCACCACTGTGAGCCCTGAGCAAAGTGAGCAAGAGCCCGKCAGGAAGGATGGTCTGTCCCTGAACACTGCAGCGAAGGATGCTCCTTGGCCCGTGCTTTAGGATGCCGGGATCTGGAAGCTGCTGTATGTTCGTCCTGCCACACTACCCACGTGTTGCAGCTGCAGGTGCTCTGCTGAGGCAGCCTTGCCTGTGCTGCAGGCTTGCAGAGGAAGTGAGCTGTGTTTAAACTCGCAGCTATCAGTGTGCAGGCCACAGCGAGGTCATTCTGCCAGCTTTGATGTTGCAGRGAGGCCCAGAAAAGCTGCTGAGGTGTCTCTGAAGGCGCGGTACCAATTCCCCCACTTGCTGTGTGCTGCAGCCACACGAGCCTCTGCTGTCCCCGATCTCATCCCTCGGAGATGAGCCCCGGCCGGACAGGCTGCATCCGCCGCAGCATCGGGAGGCGGCGGCTGATCCCGCAGGGYCGCGGCACTGTGTGCAGCCCCTTGGCCCTCCCTGCCCTACCCGCAAGCATCGCTCGTCACGCGGCTGCCTCCTCTCTCCGCAGAACCAGCGCGTGGCCAAGCAGCTCATGGTGGTGATCCGCGCGCAGGGAGACGTGCGGCTCTCGCGCTGCTGCGCGCTGGCCCGCTACGACGCCCACAAGATGAGCAGCGACGCCTTCGCCCTCATCCAGAGCTGCAACGCGGCTGGGGCTCACCAGGCCGCCTGGTGAGAGCGGCACGGCGCCCCGTGTCCCCGTGAGGGCTCGCTCCGTGGCTGGGGTGTGGGACAAGGCAGGGTGGGAACAGCAGAGTTGGGCCAAGGTGCCGYGATGGGAATCTGCAGGCGCAGCCGAGCACGGCGCTTGTTTGTGGAAGAGCCTGGCTCCTAGCCCCACATCTGGCTGCACTCCGCTAACTCYGGTGCCTCGCCGCAGGCGACTCTGCCTCCCAGGCCGGTGTCYGAGCTGATGCACGTTTGTCCTTTGCAGGTCTCCGCCGCTCATCTCGGTGCTTCTCTCTGCCAGCAAGTTCTCAGAGGCTCCCACGCTCCTCTCTGGGGGCATTGCCACCTTCCTGACCAGTGAGGCCCAGTCTGACGGCACRGCCACCACCAGCAAAAACACCGTGTCCTCTCGGAGCCCCAGGGTGAAGTTCTTCAGGAGCCCAAGCAAGGAGGCCAGGCCGCCTCACGCTATCGAGACCTTCTTCCAGAGGGCAGCCGAGCGGCAGCGCGCGCAGCCGCCCGCGCCCGGCTCCCCGGAGCGCCAGGCGGCAAGTGGCGCTGGACCCGCCGTTGCGCAGGGCGACCTGGCGGCCCCCGGGAGCTGCAGCCCTGGGCAGGGGAGCTCTGCCTCTCCCCGCAAGAGGCTGCTCTGGGAAGAACCACGGCCGGATGGTACACAAGTGCCCTCCACGCCGCTGGGCTCCAGCAGCCCCCCGAAACCAGCACAAGCTGCAGAGGGCAATGAGCAGAACTTGCCCCCGTCTCCTGAGCTCACGCACTTCCCTCCCGCCTCGCCCGGGGACTGGCAGCAGTGTGAGAAGTGTGGCCAGCGCGTGCTGGCCTGGGAGCTCCCCGAGCACCTGGACTACCACTTTGCTGTGGAGCTGCAGCGCTCTCTCCTGGAGCCCAGCTCCCCGCCGGCCCTGGGCGCAGCTCCCAGCCCCAAGGCTGCAGCTCCCAGCTCTCCGGCCAGGAGCAAGCCCAAGCCTCAAGCTGCCACCAGTGCCAAGCGGCCCAGGGAAGGGGCGACACGAACTCTGGACTTTTTCTTTAAACGGTTATCTCCTTAACTCCCAGCCACCCTGGGAATTTTAGATGATCAATGTTTTTTAAATACAGCTGAAAAGTTTTTATACAGAYAGGTTTTAATGCATCAAGTCTAATAAATTATCTCTAGCCCACCTCTGGGCTGAACTGGAAGTTGTGACTAGTGTGTGCTGGTGGATGTATCTGCCCCTGCACCTGCCTGGGCAGAGGCTGGTGGCTTCTAGCTCCCCGTGTGGTGCTTTCACCTACCCCTCCTGCTGGCAGGGGTGCCCAGAGCTGCCTCATGCTGCTGGTAAATGTTGCTCCAKCTCTTTCCTGGGGAAGCAGTAGCATCTCCCCCCCCCCGTAAAAGTGGGAAAACTGAAGTACGGAGACAGCAGCTTATCCTGGGAAGGCTCTGGCCAAGTCTAGTCCCAAACCCCTATCCATGTGAGCATGCTGAAGACTTCACTTAGGATAGTTCTCGTGGGGTGGTGCCCTCGCTGTGTGTTTTGCACCTGGGAGCTTACCCCATGGTGGCTGCTGCCCTCCTGGGCTAGGGSCAGCCTGCCTTTTCTCCCATAACCCAGAAGGGTTTCCCTGATAGACTCTGGCAAGGCCCTAGGGGTAGCGGTCTGGCCTGTGATGCCCGCTCCGGTCCTGCCATGCCCAGGTATGATGTTCCTTTCAGAGACCTAAGCTTGGAGGAGGCTGGAGCTGCACTGCTGGAGGGCTTGTTGAGGTTGCAGGGCAAAGACTGATAGTTGCTCTTGAGACAGGAGCTGCTTCGTGCTAGAGTCCTGCTGGAGGGGGTGGGAAATGTGAAGAGGCAGCAGAGGGAGGTTTGGGGAAGCACCYAGAGGGCTCATCTACCCTCTTTCTCCCCCCTTACAGACTCCAGGGCTGTTACAGGCAACCTGATTACAGGGTTCTGTTTTGATCCTGCTCTGCGAAACATGTTCAGCTCCCATGAGAGGGGCAGCCTCAGCTCCCCGCAGCCACACAGCCCCACAGCCACCAGCGCCAACCCTGGCAGGGGAACAAGGGGACACCGGACAAGTGACTCCTTCCAGCACAAGGGAGGCTTTTGCCCTCTACATCCCAGCAGGGCTCGGCTCCAGGCTGTGCCGTGGGCTGCCTGGAACCCTTGGGCCTGTTCCAAAGGCAAAATCRCTGCTGCCAATAATCCAAAGGCAGCTGAGGGCACAGAAGGGAGCTGGCCACGTCAAAGYGGCGCTGGGTGGGTGTGGAAACGCGTCGCACAGCCTTGCGTCAGCTGCAGCTTCCCCTCCCTGGGAGGGGAAGGAGCGAGCGCCCCGGCCGCCCTTCTGCGGGCGGCAGATAGAGCAGGCACCGCTGCCGCGGAGCCGCTGGCCCCTGGATGGAGCCTCCTCCCGCACGGAGCAGCAGGGGCCGCTGGCCCCTGGATGGAGCCTCCTCCCGCACGGAGCAGCAGGGGCCGCTGGCCCCTGGATGGATCCTACTGCCCGCGGAGCCGCAGGGGCTGCTGGCCCCTGGATGGAGCCTCCTCCCGCACGGAGCCGCAGGGGCTGCTGGCCCCTGGATGGAGCCTCCTCCCGCACGGAGCCGCAGGGGCCGCTGGCCCCTGGATGGAGCCTCCTCCCGCGCGGAGCAGCAGGGGCCGCTGGCCCCTGGATGGATCCTACTGCCCGCGGAGCCGCTGCCCGTGCCGGGACGCGGCCGCTGCGCTGACACCGCAGCTGCTGCTGCCAAGCTGCGCTGGACGCACGTGAGCAGCGGTGACCGCCGGCGGGAGGAACGCGGGAGTCCCTCCCATCAATGCCAGGCCTCACGTTCCAGCAGGACGAGGCTCCCGGCGTGGCCATGCAGGGAAAGGCGGCCTGGTGGGCAGGGCTCCCTTAAGCCATGACAGGGGCTGTGTCATCCCCTGTGCGTCCGGCAGGACCGGCCTCAGTGGGTGGCACTGCCCCACACCACAACAAGCCTAGGGCAGCACGGCCCTTCCGTGACACAGGTCACCTCCACGGGGAAGCTTCTCTGTCTCTGCTTGCAACGAGGGGAATAACCTGTTTTCACAGAGAGGAAGCACTCGCCTACCGATAAGCTCAAAGCTATTTTAAAAACAAACCCAGGCTAGATTTGGGCCCAGGGGAGCAGCCCTCACAGAGGCTCTGGGCCAGGGCCGTGGGTGCCTGGGAGGAGGCAGGAGCCGGGTCCCCCTGCCCGTGCGGGTGCTGCAGGGCCGCAGCGCTGGGACAGGCCCCCTGCCTGCTGCAGCCGGCACCTCCCGCTCCTACAGACACAGGGAGGACTGCAGCGCCGGCTCYGCCACCGCGGCCCAGCCCGAGGGCAGCAGGGCCAGAGCCCCGCTCCGCGCGCGCTCACTGTTCCACCTGGCTCGATAAAACGTCTTTATTCTGTACATTTATATAGAGAAGCCYGGGGCTGGGGCAGCCCCAGCATCAGAAAAGCTGAAGACAACAGAGGAGCGATGGTGAATGAAGCGCGTGGCACCAGGAACGGCCGCGCCACAGCCTGCAGGGTGGCGGCCCCCCACATGTGCACGGGTGCTGGGGACGTCGGGGGGCTGCAGGCAGCTCCACGYGCCCCCGCAGCCAGGGCTGCTCTCAGGGAGCACTAGCACCGAAGGGAGGAGCCTGCTGGCAGCYGGGGCCCTGCGGGCCGCAGCGCAGGCGCTGTCAGAGCCGGAGCGCTGCCMGGGCAAAGGAGCCCCCTTGAGCACKGCCCCGAGCCGGGGCGGCTGGGCTGCCGGGAGGAGACGGGATGGGAGCTGGGTCTGCGCTCCTGGGGGCAGGCAGCGCCTGTCCTCCCCTCCTGCCGAGCTGCCCCGCAGCCCCTCACGGGCAGGACGGCCTTTTGTCAGCCCCGTGTCCCCGCCGCCCATCACCAACCCCACAGCGCTCTGCGGGGGCAGCCCCGCCGGGCGGCAGGGACGGGCCAAGGCGCCGGGCCCCAGCACAGGGCAAGCTGCTCGCGGGCAGGCGAGCGCTTTGGGGCCCCTCTCGCTCCTGGCCAGCACTGAAGTCAAGAGTCCCAGTGCGGCTGCACCCCCAGCTGCAGCAACTGTCACGCAGCGGGACTCGCAGGGCGACAAGGGGGACAGAAGTGCTCCGCTCCCTGTGCACAGAGTCCGTGCTGGCCGCGCCAGCTTCCCTCCACACGGACCCCCATGTCCAGGGAAAGCAAACAGGTCTTCCTTTAGGAGAGCGACAACTAAACCCACACCACTGGCAAACCACATCTCTACAACCAACTCACCTGTTTCTTCTGTTAATAACCCAGCCTGCCCTGCTCAGACATTAAGGCGAGTGTCTGAGGAGGAAGCAGGGCTGGGCCACGGAGTCCGCTGCGAAATGCTGCCACCCACTCGAAGGTGAAATCAGCGGCTGAACCTTGGTGGCAACGATGAGCACGCGGTGGCGTTGACCCAGGGCTCCACAGGGCTCCACAGGGCTGCCTGGTGCTTCGGCCGGCCGGCTGCACGGAGCGGAGCTAAGTGCAACGCTGCCTTCACACCCCGTGCGAGGAGGCCGCGGCGCCCGGAGCGGCCCCGKCCTCCCGGGAGGCCCAGGCGGGAGCGCGCCCGTGTGCGGGGCCGACAGCCAGACACCCGGATTACAGCAATGCAAAACCAACACACAGATGGACACTGCAGATTAAAGCCAACCAAGAATAAAATGGGTAAAAAAGTGTCCTGAATGCATCTGAAAGGTCCAGCCAAGCTCCCGCTGTGGGAAGCAGGGCCTCTTCCATCCCTCCCCACAGGGATGTGCTGCAGGACTGCTCTGGATCGAGCTGGAACAGAGCCAGATCTTCTATCACAGATGGAAAATAAATCCCTTCACGGCCAGTCTTCAAGGACTCTGCTCCTCCCAACCACTAATTTTAAAACAGTAAACACAGCCAGAACTTGCCTGCCTGGGTCTGCGGGTGCCTCTCATCTCTTCCGGAGGGCAGGGCAACCAAAGCACAAGGCAACGTGGAGAACATGCTTAACTTGCCTCTCGTAGGGCACCGAACGCAAGGAACTCTCCAAGACTCCACCTCGCAGCACAGAGGAGGGACGCCCACACTGCAGCTGGATGGCAGCAGCTCCAGGCACCGCTCGGAGGGCCAGGGGAGCTTCCAGCCTCCTCCCCGCTTGTTGGCRAGTGATCTCTCCGACCCAGTCGTAGTCAGAAGCTCCGTTGCCCAGGCCCCAGGGCCTCCTCCAGGCCGTTTTCTTTGGTGGTGATGGCCTGGAGGTCAGTGACATGCCCGATGCCTTTGGTGACTCCTTCACGGAAGAGCAGCTTGGCTCCGATCTTCAAGTATTCGGGATGCTTGATGAATCTGAAGCGGACGACTGCCTTCTCGCCCGTCCGCAGCTTGTCCTAAGGAGACAAAGCGGATGCCTGGGCCCACCTACCACGCCTCTGCTGAAGCAGATTTGGGGGTGGATGCTAAATAGATGAGGCCATTAGTTGTCTCTCTCAGGCTTGCAGAGTTTGAGCTCTTCCCATCACTGTCTGCATGGTGCGAGACAGGAAGACAAAGCGCTGGAGAACAGAGTTTGCCTCCCTTCCCAGCCCTGCTGGGATCCAGCAGGCTTATTTTGTGATCCAGCTGCTTATTTTGTGATATGGAAATTCTTTAACATTGTGGGAGGCAAATCAACTACACAAGCAGGATAAAGGGACCAGCGTGTTCTCTGACAGGACACAGATGTCCAAGCTACCACACAACTGGACTTGATAGCCCCATGGCTTTTCTAGTGCACCCAATGGAATCCCAACAAGCCCCACAGGGCAGTCCACATTCCCCCTTTGCTCCCAGACCTACCTTTCCGTGGATCTTCTCCACAATAGCAGTCTGCCGCACGTTGCCTACGTGCACCGTCACCTGAAACCCCTTCCGGAAAGTCGTGGCATGGAAGAGCAGCACGATCTCGGCCTCGAACACTGAGCAGATGGTGGGGTTCATTTCTGGGCTCACCATCACCATGCCCTGCACAACAGCCCAAAGCTCAGACCACTCGGGGCCGGCCCCTTTGCCAGCCCCATACCGAACACAGACACACTTCCACTTTAGGCCTTGGCCTTACTTCCCTTCCTCAGCCCTGCACTCCTCCCACCTCCCAGCCTGGTCATTTCCTCCCTTTCCAGCAACTTTTCTGCACACCCCTCTACTTCCCTCCCCCGCCACCAGGGCAGGTTCTCCTGGGAAGCTTCCATGCCCGCTCCCCGAGCGCCCTGGCAGCTGATCTTCCTGCCTGTGGGGCAGCGGGGAGCCTGGCAGCAGCCGGACTCACCTTGCGCAGCAGGGAGCGGTCGAAGGGCCCCAGGGCCAGCGTGGCCGCCTGCCCTGCCCGCAGCACCCGGCAGGCCGAGCGGTTGCGCTGGATGCTGCASACCTTCAGCCGCAGGAACTTCCCGTCGTCAGTGGGACCCACCACCAGGTTCTCCCCTTCTCGGCAGATCCCGCTGCCAGGACACAAAAGCAGGAYGGATCAGCAGGGAGCAAGGAAGAAGCTGCACCCTGCACGGTTAGCTTGCACTGACTGCTCCGGGCCAAGGATACGAGTGTCTCTGGCCTCCTACCCRGGCACGTGATGAGCGAACAGGGATACAAAGCTGGCAGGAATAGGGAATTCCTACAGCAGCAGTGAAAACCACACTATGACTCCTTAGGAAACCAAGCGTTTTTTCCTCCTTCTCCTTGGACGGGTGCCATTCTGGCTCCAGTGCTCTGACATACTGCACCCTTTCTCCTGGGCGGACTGCAGCTGGCACCCACTCTGCACGGACACCCGGAGAACCAAACAGCTCTGACCGTTCCTGGGACACTGAAGGACAGCAGCCTTCCTATGGCAGCGGCATGCGACAGCTTCTGCTGGGATGAGCGGATTTGCTTTGCACATTGACTTCTCCCCCTGCTTGAGGGAGGASGGGAGCAGCACCTCGGGATGCTGGCTGGCCTCTGCTGACACTGGCTCCTGCCAAGCCCTGCTCCAGCACGCTACAGGTCACCCTGCTAATCCAGCAGCTTCAGAGCAGGGGCCTCACCTGCCACCACGTGCGCAGAGCACCTCCCTGCACCCTGCAGGGCTTCACCCTCAATCAGCTCTGTTAGCAGGCAAGAGCCAGGACTGATTTTTCTGCTTCCATCTGATACAGATGGTGAGGACTGGACAGCTTCCATTCTGCTGCTCTCAGAGCGGTGRGTGACTCCAGCCTTGCTGAACTCCTGCAACCACCCACATCATCTGCCTGTCTCGCATCACTTACCTCGAGAGAGTTCCTCCCACAACAGTCCCCACCTCTGGCACAGTATAGATTTCATCAACCTGCAGGAAAGCAACCAGAATAAGGTGCTCAGAGAGCACTCCAGAAGAATAAGCTGTTCCTGCCATGGGYGGACACGCTGTTCCTGCCATGGGCAGAGGGGAGCTCTCTGATGGGCATCAGAGAGCATCTCAGAGCTTTCACCAGCTCCCACTATCTTCCCATTAGAAGAGCCCCAGCTTGAGAAGCCAGGGAAAAAGTCTTTTCTGTGAGATGGGCACCCCTGGCTACAACAGGGCTGAGGCTAACAGGCTTTTACAAGGAGCAAGCCCACCCCTTAACATTTACCCATAGTCCAGGAGTTCACCACATGCTCCCCCATGGTGTCCTCAGCTGGCTGTCACACATCACAGCAATGGGCACAGAAGCAGATGGAGAGCTGCCTTTACATACCTGAAACTCTGTGAGCTGCTGCATTAGCTCCTCCTGCTCTTTACTGTTGGTCAGTGGAGGAAGGATGTTGAGGAAGACTTTCAARAGATCTAGGTTCTCCCCAGAAACGCTGGACAGTGTGAAGATTGGGGTGATGCTGCCAAACACACACAGACAGGCATGAGTGGAAGGCCAGAGTGCAGGTGCAGAACGTGACTGCAATTCTCAATCTACAGAGCCCAACGGGAAGACAGGGACCACAGTAAGAAACTGGACCACTATGGAARGGTGTGTGGACTACGTGTAACTGCAGAGACCCTGCCTCAATGTTTGGCTGAGACACCCATCGCCTGTCAGCCCACACTTCTGTCCTGGAGATGTGACCCAACACAGCCTCCAGCACCTTCTGCTCCGAGAGCCCCAGGAAAGCCTAGCAGGGAAAGACATCCCCTCCGGGAATATAAAAGCAGGAWATCTTGCAGATAAGGAGCCAATATGTTCAAGATGTCACCTGCTTCCCCAGGGAAGATTTTCCCAGCTCCACACTGAATTACCCGTTCCTAGCAGACAGAAAGAAGGGTCCCTTACTTGGGAGACTGTGCAAACTGCTGTGCTGCTGTGACAGCATCGTCATCGGAATTGACAAGCAGGGGCAGCTTGTTGCAGCCTGGCTGCTTCAGGATCCGCTCCAGCTGTTTCACTGTCCGTTCCACAGTGGCTTTTGAACACAAGTCGACTTTGCTGATGACAATGAAGAAGGGGACCTTGAGGGCCATCGCCAAGCCCAAGTGCTCTCGCGTTGTGCCTGCTGCAAGGGAGAAAAATGAGAGGTGTAGCACTCACCAAGCATTCATCTGCTCAGATCATCAGGCAATGGAAAAGGAACGTTATTCTTTTAATCAAAATAAACATTCACCTAAAAAATACCAAGCTGAATGAGACTTCTTAAGCCTGATCTCTTTGCTTCAGAAAGATGCAGTAGTTTACCTCTACGGACCAGAGTTTTCCAAAAGACGGCCATGAAAAAATTTGGGAGAACTCCAGCTGCCTTTTTACAAGGTTCAGGCTACCCTTATGAATATGTCAAAGAGAATTTTTTCCAACAAATGCACCCTCAAATGCCAGACAAAGCTTCTCTCTCCTGAGCATCATTACCAGTAACCTGGGATCTAGATGACACAGGATTCCACTCTCTTCCCTCCCAGACATTTTTAAGCATTGGTCTACAAGAAAACATTTTTCTCTTCTCTTCTCTTCTCTTCTCTTCTCTTCTCTTCTCTTCTCTTCTCTTCTCTTCTCTTCTCTTCTCTTCTCTTCTCTTCTCTTCTCTTCTCTCTTCCTTTTTCTTTTTCTTTTCTTTCAAGAATCCCCAGCTAACCAGGATCTGCCCAGCCACCCTCTGTTCCTCTCACGCCACTGTCAGCCTGTCTGTGTGTTCCTCAGTGCAGGCAGCCCAGTACTCACCAATGCCAGTGTTGGCGCTAACCACCAACATAGCAAAGTCTGGGCAGTAGCTGGTGAGGCCAAAGATGGTTGTTTTCAGGTACTTGTGGTGGCCAGCCAGATCAATGAACGTGATCATCTTGGAGGAGCTCTCACAGATCTCTTCTGCTGTCCGGGAGTCACTGTAATTCACCACCTGAGGAACAAGAGCACTCAGTTAGAAGGAGCACCACCAGGCAAGCAAAGAAAGAGCCTGGCCTTATCAGACTACACCCACCTCTGAAGTTATTGAATACAGATCATTCCCCATGGATGTACGGAAACAAACGTAGCTTCTTGCAAACGGACAAGCAGCCCTCGGGACACAGAGCTGGGCCACCTCTCTTCCATCACATTTCCCTCACTGTTGTTAATAGGGACAAGATGTATTCCCCCTCGTCACCCTCTCCCAGCCCCAGTGCAGCAGGCCTCCCTCACCTCCCCTTTGCTGTTGAAGCCAAGGATCTCAAAGCTGATGCTCGACGTTCTTCCCGACTGGATTTCGTGGAGATGCCGGAAGAGGTTGAGGCGCGCTCTTCCCCTCCCGTTGTCCAGCTCTCCTTGTGTCAGGACACCCAGAAGAGTTGACTTCCCCGAGTCCACATTCCCCAGCACAGCCACTCGCAGGTCTAAGAACTAGGGAAGAAGGATGAAAGGAATCATGAAATGCAGCCACTGCAGCGCTGCTTGTCACACCGATGGGCCCCCAGAGCCTTTCCCTCCGTGATGGGCACTGTACAGCATAACCCTGTTCATCAGATTCTGCTCCTTCTTTCAGCAAGTTACAGCCCAGAAGCTGCAAAACAAGGTCATTTCTTGCAGCAGGAATTGCAAATCCTTCCCTGCTTCCACACTTAGCTGCATCACAACCAGTGCTTCAGAAGTGAGATAATTTCTCACCTCTAGTGCAGGCAACCTCCCCTACTGGAATCTGCTGCAACCGCAATCCCGGAGATGAAAAGCGTTGTTCTCAAGCCTCCCTTTGGCAGCTCTTTAGAGAACCTGCAATGGGTCAATCTAGGGCAAAGCRCCTCTAGGGTTTGGATTCTCATCCYGAAAGGAAACTGCTTGAATGAAGCCTCAAGCCTAGAMGTCCCCAAAGGGAGAGGGTGGCCAAGCCACAGGCTCCTACCTGCTGGTTGTCAGGCACCTTTCGGACAAGGACTTCTGTGATCTTCCTTGGAACGTCGCTGTCGTAATCAACCTCCCTCTCTCGGAGCACCGTGATGTCTGCCCCAACCCTGCCGGGGGCCCAAAGGAAAGAGTGAGAGCCACGTTTGTGCTGAGCTGCCCCAGCACCTCTAGAATCAGACCTGTGAACGCGAAGGGCCCACACCCCGGYAGGAGCCAGGCTGAAGCCTGGAGCTCCCAGCCAAGCTGCCCTGCTATTCCCGGAGCCTCGTGCTACGGGAACTCCAGGCACGCAGAGGCAGCCACCCCCCAGCCCCGTTTTGGGGCCGAGCCGCGCGGGCCGGYGCTGCAGGCGGCAGGGCCACGCACTTCTCGGCCATGCGGCGCAGCGTCTTGAGCGAGGCGCGCATCTCCTCCTCCGAGAGCCCCACGAGCAGCCCGTTGTCCTCCACGCCGATCTGGTAGACGGCCTCCCCTCGGCCCTCCTGCAGGCGCCACTTCATCTGCGTGACCAGGTGCTCGAAGCGGTACTGCGAGGGATTCACCAGCTTGAGCTGTTCAACGGAGCAGGCGGTCAGAGTTGCAGCGTGGCCGCCCAAGGCAGCGCCTCCCCAACCCAGCACCACGTCTCCAGCCTGGCCCACCTCTGGGAAACACCCCACAACACGAGGCTCCTGCCTCCTCACTTTTCTCRGTGGTGGCCAGTGACAGGACAAGGGGTAATGGGTGCAAGCTGAAACACAGGWGGTTCCATCTCYAGGTGAGGAGGAACTTCCTTACTGTGAGGGTGACAGAGCCCTGGCACAGGCTGCCCAGGGAGGYTGTGGAGTCTCCTTCTCTGGAGGCCTTCAAAACCCGCCTGGATGCCGCCCTGTGCCCCGTGCTCTGGGTGTCCCTGCTGGAGCAGGAAGGTTGGACTAGATGATCTCTAGAGGTCCCTTCCAACCTTTAAGATTCTGTGATTCTCACCCTGCCTGCTGTGGGGGCAAGGAAAGCACCACCTATCTGTGATGCGGGGACCAAGTAACTGAGAAGGGCAGGGGAGCCGCAAGCAAGCGGCTAAGGAATACCAGGTATCTCCATCCAAGCAGGAAGGTCTCAGGAAAAGCACRGTGGATCTCCTCTCCTACATCAGATTCTTAAAACCAGTGCTGATAGCCAACCATTCCAGCTGAGCACACTAGGCAYTGCTGCACAGAGACCCAGAGGTGGACTGGGTCCAGCCCCCTAGCCCAGCGTTTGTTTTTCTGCCCCTTTCCTGAACACGTTCCCCACACGCTGTCTTTGTTGAAGTTCCTTGCTGCAAAATAATCCTCCGGGAGGAAGAGGTCCCCTGCGCAGTGCACAACGGGCTCACCTTGTACTCGATGTTCCCGTCTTCTGCCTGGCCAGGGAAGGAAATAAAATACACAGGTTAGATGCCGTGCCAGCAARGACTTCTATAGGCACCAGCCACTGTGGCCTTCTATAGGCACCGTAGCTACTACSACCATTTTCAGAGAGGGGAAATTGCAGAAACCTACTGTGTTAGTCACAGCCTCGCCTGCCCTTCATTCATGAATTCCTGCACKGCACTGGAATTTACTCGGGGTTTGTTTCTCCTGGTTGCATCACACAGGTTGAAAACCACAAACTAAAATTAGAGTCAYGCAGCAGGGAATGACACGTTTTGTTGTTGCTGCTGCTTTTGTTTATTTTTTCTCTCTGTACTGACAGCAAAGGATGGGGCCAGCCTGAAAGTCACAGTGACTTCCAGTTAAAAAAGAAAAGAACAAAAAAAGAAAAAAAAAAGGGAAAAGCAAGCACACGGGCCAACAGCTGATCAGAAAAGTCCACACATCCCACTCCATCCCACGCTGCCACCACACTGTCCAGCACCCTCCGTCCACCCAGCGCGCACGGCACCAGCTGACCGGCGGCAAGAACCGCGGCCCCGTCTCCCACACCTGCCATGCCGCTCATCCGACGGCGCTGGCGGAGCGGAGCCCCCGGGACGGGCTGCGGGCAGCGCCCGGGGGGCTCCCCGGCACCGGCACCGGCACCGCGCCCGCTCCCCGCCTCGGCGGGCGGCGCCTCCCGGGCCCCGGCCCGAGCGGGCCCCGACAGCTCC